CCCCACTTGACGGCCCACTGTACCTATCCCCCCCCAAAAAAAAAAAACATCGGCGAACGAAACTGCGGCAGCTACAACCACTGTACGACAAGTACGCGGTTATTACAGTCGACAATGATGATGATGATGACCTGGTCCTGGCTTGTGTCAAGCATTCTGAGGTGCCTACACCTCTAACCGCTCAATCAGACAATGTGGAAAGAAACTGACAGCACGAACGCCACTGACATCGATTGGCCGCCATTTCTTGCAACGTCTCCAGCCAAGCACGGATGGGGTCACGGTGACCCCATCCTGAAAGGCGTAAAACACCAACAACACTCAAACTCTTCGTGATCCCTTTCACGCCTTTCTACCAAGTCATGTGCTGTCCACCTCGCGGTTCGCGCCAACCTGAAGGAGGCACGGAGAATAACACTCGTCTCGGTAGACGGTGTTTTGGCATGGGTAGCGCATGACCGAGCCATCGTAGTCGATGATGCTGGGTGATTTCTAGAATTGAGGCGCCTGCAGCCCAACCAAGTACCTGTTTTCTAATCACCTCATTACAAGTAAGAAAACTTTCATGCCACGTCAAACGTCACGTGGTGATATCAACCAGGTCGCTTTTGTGGCTGTACACGGTGTGGGGGCGGATAACCGAAAAAATGATACTGCTGATGCTTTCCATTTTTCTTCATTGTTATCTATTAGGTCTCAACCTGCTCCCCTTGGTAGTCGATTGGCACCATAGTCGGGCACTGAAGGAACTGCCACTTTTCACGCAATCGTGAAAAATCGAAAGCGTTCAGCTGGGCCTAGCTGCTATGCAACCCAAGGAAGCACGATGGTTGGCATATTGCCAGGTTGCCCAAGCCTAGACAGAAGTCGAGATGCAATGGTCGGGTTCTAACCACGGAACTTCCGGTCAGTAAATAAGTGCTCTAACCATTAAGCCATCTCGCTCCCACCACATCACAGGCCGTTGCTCATATTTACCGCCTCACGTCCGCTATTCAGGCCTCGTTCATTTGTTTATCAAAAGTTTGCCATGCGAAACATCACACAGATGGACCAACAACTCAGTTTTTCGACTTATCATCTATAAACAGTGAACTATAAGCATATTGGTCCCACCTGCTGCAGTTTCGATCATTTGAAAGTGGGAGAATGTGGGACATACAGTCAAGCCTTGGATGGCATGGCATGTGCAGTTAGTTTGGGAAATCGGTAGCTGGGAATTGAAGGCGACACCCTTGATGTGCGAGTGCAACCAACCGTGCAAATGGGCCATTTCCGCCAGTGCCATTAATCACAGGTCAGTTGAGTCCTGGGGTCCCCGTTCCACGAATGCGGCAGTGGTCGACCCGATTAAGTTTACTGGATAAATTCAAGTGATCCTTTTTTATAGGAGCTCCTAACTCCATGTCAAACTGGCATCATCATCAGCTGTTAAAACTGCGTAAGTGGTTACAGCTTCTGCAGTTTCGCCCATTAACTATTTGAGGACATGGGGTAGGTATCTGTGGTTTGTCTGACCTCCCCTGGCTCATTTCCACCCTTCGAATGGTTGTGCAAAAAGAGCCCGAGAAAGTCGGTCGACCAGCACGTTGCCAAGCCAGCGCAACCTATGAAGTGTGGTCAATTCATCTATCGTGAGATATTTCTTCCAAAAACCATTCGACGAACTTCAGCACTACTGATGAGTGTTCTCACCAGACTCTGGCAATGCTCGGAAGACACCGATGGTTAGAGAAAGAAAAACTTCTGGGGCACTCAGCGCGTAGCGGCCACGTTTCTGGCCCACATAACAATATATAGAGCATTACAGCATTGAAACTCGACCCTTGACGGATAAGTTGATGTCACAACTATGCCACAGGTTATGCAGGTTCATGAAAGCTGCTATGAATTTCCGGATGAAAATATTATTTCTTGCGAGACCACCGGGACTGCTGTAAACTGCCAAGGCAGACAAATTTGTCTATTATCTTAATCGGCTCATCTGAAAGCATGAGGTTGGTGTTCGAGCCAACCCAGTCTCGCAGCAGCACCTTACACTTTGAAGGTATGGAGCACATGAGAAACCATGCAGCAGAATTATTTCGATCATCTAATACCACAACGTCAGATACTAGAGGAGCTGTCTCGTCTGCGTAATCCATATCTGTGAGTAAATACATCCGGAGCACTTCGAACCCACAGGCAATATAGGCTCGTAGTGAGCCTCCCATACTCTTCACGATGAAGAAGCTGAAGAAAAAAGGTAAAGAGGACTGCCTTGCCTGACACCACCTGATATGGTGAACTCAGGTGAGAGCTTCCCGTAGACCTTATCCGCAGGAGTTGCTGTACAGCGCCTTAATTAGGGTCAACAATTTATGAGTGAAACCTATGTCCCACAGAAACTGCCATGTGGAACTATATAGTGCCTGAAGGTCCATAGAGTCAAAGGCAGCTTTCATGTAAAAGAACACAACCATTGTTGGTTGCTGGGAGCAGTGTCTCCAGAATCTGTGAAGATGTGATTGATATATTCTCTCGCAGGATAGAACCCAGGTTGGTTTTAACGGATCTGCCCCTCTATGTGTTCGGTCAACCTTCGAACTGTCGACTCACTCAATCTAAAAATACTCAAAACCTTGATTCATTTTGTGGATGCACTTGTACATGCTTATATTACTGACTGTCCTGATGTAAAATACGATTTCAGGACACTTGAAAAGTAGTACGTTCGTCGCCTACAAACATTCAAACAAGACAGCCGTCAAGATGTTTATCAGCTTGTTCAAAGACCTAAATCGAGGCCGAAAATTGTGATTTCAAGGCGGTATCCTCTAATGACCATCAAAGCGAAAGTGTACGTGATGCTCTGATTAATGGACTTCAGTCTGCTACCATCAGAGCGAGACTTCTGGCGGTTTGTATATCATGTGGCAAACAAGGAAATTTTCAGCGTTTGCCGATCCAAATTTATCAACGATTACTCAAATTGCACGATGGATTCTGCCTTATCTTCTCCACTGACTGCTGCAGCCCCGAACTGTTTGACCAGCATAAAGGCAAACGGAATATTGCTTCACAGCTTCGTACGGACTACGTAGTTCGTAATGCTAGGTTTATGTATTCGACTTATAAACGTCAAATTGTACATACTTCACGTGGAAATCTCTCGGAATAAATTCTTCAAACATTTTCACACTATTTTCTCGCTTCCTCTGACAACCCGCCTCTTCCTAATTTATGCGCTCTAAGCATTTATTTCGCTGGAAGTCGATTCATGCACAAGCCAAACTTAACCAAATGATTGGCTGGCCCTAGTCATTCGATCCATACCGAAACATACATGGATGTAGACGCTGCCAAGCAGTGGTCGTTGGACTGGCACCTTCCTCTGAATGATGAAAAGTGCGTCCATGTGTCGTTTGGAGGGGATTCAGCGAATGCCTTTGTTATGCATGGTGAAAAGGGACCAGAAAACATCATGAGGATAGATGCCAAAAAAGATTTAGGCATCTGGGTCTCCTCAAACTTGTCCTTCGCACTACACCATGAGAAATCGGCCCAAAAGGCATTCGCCGTTTTACGGATGATCCGACGTACCTTCTCCCGTATTACGGGAGACGTCAGACCGCTCCTGGAGTACGCCAACAAAGTTGTCTACTCAGGACGTACGAAAGACGTTACCCTCATTGAGCGTGTCCAGCGGGCCGCCACGAGAATAGTTGCCGGCCTCAAGTCCGTGGACTACGAAACGCGTCTCGCGACGCTTGATCTATTTCCCCTGGAGTACCGTCGCCTCCAAGGGGACCTAATTCTTACCTACGCCCGGTTTAAACAAAGCTTGGCAAACAGGTTTTTTACCGTTGACCCAGCAAACACCCGGCGGGG